ATGGCCCCCTGTCATACACACACGCACACAAAAGCTTGACTATAGCCTAAGCATGCACACTGTCATAGTATCATACATAAACATGTATATAAACTGTATGTAAAGAACATGCATTCACACGCCACATTAAGCAAGGCAGTCTGTTCGAGTCCTCGTTCAATTACACTAATCTGAGGTGACCTTTGGTCTTCACGATGCTGCTTTATATGTCACAGACAGAAAATGGGGAAAGTGAAAAACTTTAAAAAAAGACAAGGCATCAAGAACACGTTCAAGAGCACAGCTGGGGAACGACATTATCCACTATTACACCGACAGCTCTGGGAAACCGAGGGACCCACAGCACTGCTCGAGTAGTTCATCAGGCCATCCTGAGCTATAATTGGTCCAGACCTTTGAAATGATAGCAGGCTAACACATAAGTGTCTGCTAAACGCTTGTGTCAACATGCCAAAGGAGCCATCTAGCTGGGAATTTCAGCAGCTGCCCTCGTGATTACTGCTGCTAGTACAGTTGCAAGATTAAAAAAAAAAAAAAGAAAGTGAAAATGTAGCAGTCAATATGGGGATAAAAGTACCCCAGAGGTGTTTTTGCAGTAGTCAAGAGTACATGCAAAGATTAGCTTAACATGTCTGGAAAAACAGAAATAAGTGCACCTGAAAAGGGAATGACAAAGAAATACATAAAGAAGAATATAGCCTGTACAGAGAAATAAATAGACAATCAGGGAATCAAGTGTAAAAATGCTGAAGTAGCCAAATAAAAGTATAACTAAGATGATTACAGTGTTTTGGTTCTGCGTCTGTGTCTGAGCTTTTTAACTTTCTAGTTATTTAAATATTCTATTTGGTCCCTGATTGGTCTAATGTGTTTGTGCTCATTGTAAACAGTTTGTGTTTTTGTTCGTCTTCTTTTTTTCTTTGTAAACTACATCCACAAATACTCAATAAAAATATTTTGAATAATGTGTTCATGCAGTGTTCTTGAGTCTGTTCTCCATGCCCTGCTGTTCATCCTTCCCACTGTTCCCCAGCTCTGTTGTTTCCTAGCCTTAGTGTGTTTTCAAGTTTAGGTTTCAAGTAGTTGCCATTTTCTTTGTACTTTACTTTTCATTTTTATTCAAATGTGTCATTAGCTTTCAACAAGTTGCTCACTTTTTGTTTATTTCAGTCTGACTGTCTTTGCATCTGGTATTTGGGTTCTCACACTCCACTCTGCATGACATACAATTTAAACTGGTAGCTGATAACATCAAGAAACAGGCAAAATTTCTTCTGACACAACGCATTTGTGCTAAATTGAGTCATCTTAAAAGTAGAGAGAGTATCTGTCTCCCAAATAGGAGCTGATTCCTTAGTAGAGGGGCCTGATAGCTGAAGAGTATGCCTCCTATTCTACTTTTACAAGCTCTAAGCATTACAAGTACAAGTACTACAAGCCAGCAGTCTGACAGAGAAGCGCTCTGTTAGGATAATAAGACACTATGACATCTTTAAAACATGCTTAGATTCTAAATTTAACAGGGAGTCAACGGAAAGAAGCTAATATGGGAGAAATATAGTCTCTCTTTTTAGTCCCAGTTAGTACGCTCACTGCAGTATTCTGGATCAACTGAAAGCTTTTCAGAGAGCTTTTAGAGGGACCTGATATTAGCTTTTTAGCATCAATCTTAAACAGGATGTTTCTAATTTCAGCAATACTGCGGAAATGAATAAAGACAGTCCTACATATTTGTTTAATGTGCATACTGAAGGACATAAAATATACCACAAGATCCTTCACAGTGTTACTGCAGGCCAACGTAATGCACTTTAAAGTAATTATCTGGTTAAAACGGAGGTTGTCTGATTTAGTGACTATCTGAATTTAGAAGTAGGAAATCAGAGCTCATCCAGGCTTTTGTCTGTGACATGCCTGGAGTGTAGTTGACTTGTATCATTTGGCTTCCTGGATAAGTACAGCTGGATATCTGCAGAGCAATTAAATTGAATGCAGTTTTTTCTAATAATTTTAAAAAGTATTGGTCCCAGCATTTAACCTTGAGGAACTCCGTGACTAACTTGTGTGTGAAGAAGAGTCCCATCTAAAAATTTGTAGATTTACATCTACAAATTTGCATACAGGGAGTGCAGAATTATTAGGCAAGTTGTATTTTTGAGGAATAATTTTATTATTGAACAACAACCATATTCTCAATGAACCCAAAAAA